GAGAATTATTCAAATCATTTGCACTGTGAAATCAATCATTGGAGAATTTCTTAAACCACCCGTACCTAGCGGTTGTTAAGGCCCGTGTTTCAGCCTACCGGTATCCCGAACCTTGCCGAGCCTCGAGCTACCGATAGGAACACATAGGAAGGAAAAGAAAAACTTTGAAATAAAAAATAAAAAATAATTGACATTCTTCTGCGAAAAAAAAAAGAAATTGAAAAACACAGATGCCCGTTTTGCACTGTCGACCTTTGGGTCACGAGAGAGAGAGAGAGAGAGAGAGAGAGAGAGAGAGAGAGAGAGAGAGAGCACGGCTGGCTGCGTTGAGGGCCAACTCTCTCTCTCTCTCTCTCTCTCTCTCTCTCTCTCTCTCTCTGTGTGTGTGCGGGGCAGTCCACATAGTGAGAAAAATGCGAATGAATCCTGCCGCCTTGTAGCGGAAGATTCATTCCCATTTTTCATAATAGTCCCACTAGCAAACACGCGCGCTAGAGAGAGAGAGGGAGAGAGAGAGAGAGGTGGCGCGTTCGACGCGGGCCAGCCGCATCGAACGCCTCTCTCTCTCTCTCTCTCTCTCTCTCTACCTTCAGGACCGGGCAGTCCACTGAGTGACGGGAATGAATCATGCCGCCTTGTAGCGGAAGATTCATTCCCATTTTTCACAATAGCCGCGTGCGCCTTTGTACCCGCGCGCACGCGAGAGACAGAGAGAGAGAGGCGGCGCGTTCGACACGGCCAGCCATGCGATGCGCCCTCTCTCTCTCTCTATGCCTTCTGGGACGGGCAGTCCACTTAGTGACGGGAATGAATCATGCCGCCTTGAAGCGGAAGATTCATTCCCATTTTTCACATCAGTCGCACAGCAACCAAGAGAGAGAGAGAGAGAGAGAGAGAGAGAGAGAGAGAGAGAGGCGGTGCGTTCTACACGGCCAGCCGCGCATTGTGCCAGCTCTCTCTCTCTCTCTCTCTCTCTCTCTCTCTCTCTCTCTCTCTCTCTCTCTCTCTCTCTCTGCCTCCACAGCGGGCAGCCCACAGAGTGACACAATTCATTCCCATTTTCCACAATACTCACGCAACAACCGAGAGAGAGAGAAAGAGAGAGAGAAGCCTTCCCGCCCTTAAATTTTGCTCTTTTCTTTTTCTTTTTTCTTTTTGAAGTGGTATCTCACTATCTCGTTTGTTTTTTTTTGGTTATTTTAATTTCTAAAGAAAAACAGCTCCTACCGGTCCTTCAACTTCCCGACCCCCTAACGTTGCGGCGCATTAATGGCCGCAACTTTTTTCTATAGCTGGGCGAGGTAGTGGTGGTTTAAACTGCTGGTATTTTTTATAAAAAAGTATTGCGAAGAACATCAATATTTTTCTCTTCAAAATAATACTTGTTAATTCAAAATAATTCTCATTCTGGAGGTATAGGGGCTACCCCTGCAGGTTTTAAACAACCAAAGCTCGCGGGATTATTGTCCGGTTCTTTTTTTCTAGAAAGGTGCGTAGCCCCTAAAGATGATTGTATCCATCATCCATGCGCCTAGGTCAGCTTGTACGCTGTTGAAATACAGACCTGGAATCCGAAATGATGAATGAAAACACTGAATTACCCTGGGCTGGTCAGTTTGATGGTAATATCTCAAGGCCACCACTTCTTTTCTAGTATTTTCTAGTAAAAGAAAGAGGAACAAGGACAAAAAGTTGATAGAAAAAGAGGGTTCCTTGGGACGTCCAAATTTGAACGATACGCAGAACGAAGCGGAGAGGATTCGCATGGCCTCCTGTGCCAGGACGATACGCGTAAATCGAGAAATGGGCCCCCGAATAAAGAAAAGGGATTATATCTTCTGAAAAAGCAGATGTTGAAAAGGAAAAAAATCTATGCTGGTCCCCAGGCGGCCCGGCTGGGGGAAGGTCGCCTGGGTACCCTCCCGGGCGGCCCGGACCGGGCAGTGGCCTGGCAGGGTCCGCGGCAGCCCCAGCGCATAATATTTTAAAAAATAAAAAATTCAAAAAATTCAAAAAAATCTGGAAAAAGAATATGTTGTCTAAAATTGCAATAGAAGCAACTTTTGGCTGAGGGTCCCCTCGAAATTCCTTAGTAATTTTAAGATAAAAATAAATGAGGAAAAATGAGGTAAGATATACCCTTTTAAACCCCTCTAGTCACTATTCAGAGTAACTCTATACCCCCAAACACTCCTGGGTGACCCACCACCGAAATAAAAGGTAAGGCCGGATTCTGACTGCTCCTGCCGAGCGCAGTCCTGGCCTGACTTCAGTTTTTTTTTTGGAGATCCTTCCCTCTTTTATGACCGGCCTGGTTTTGCTGGGCGATCCCCCCCGGCCCAGCTGGCCCGGGCATGCCTGGCCGGGCGTGCCTGGCCGGGCGACGGCCCAGCCTAGAAAAAAATAGAAATGATTGCACGCTATTGCTGCCTCGAAACGAAATTCTGAATGCTCTATTGAGGCTGGGTTAAAATATTTTGCTCCGTTTAAGGTACCTTTTCCTTTGGGACATCTTATTCTATGAGAGTCTCGTTGTTCCGTTTTAGGTACCTTTTCCTCTGGGACATCTTATTCTATGAGAGTCCCCCATACTCGCAACGGTGAGCACGGCCACAACCTTGTGGCTGAATGGTACATTTATGTAACTTTCGGTAAGGAGGTCACGAGTTCAAATGCTTCCTGAGTCCTGACACGATAATGTGAGGGTCTAACGCCCAAGACAACAGCACGTCTGCACTGTATGAATGGTCTAGTGCGCGAAAGGCAGTTATGCTGCCGAAAAAGCCGGTAAACGACACAATTTCGAAATGTTTTGACTTTTTGGAATTCAAAGAATAGGAGCTTAGGGGGGTTTATCCGCTGGAAGTTCCTTCAAATAATGCTCTTTTTTTTTTTTTTTTGGAAATGAATAAAGCTTTAAACCACCACTACCTCTCTCATCTGTGGGCCCGCGGGCCTCAAATTCAAATTCGGCCGCCACTCGCCGTTGATGAAAAATAACGACGCGACATGGCGGCTATTTTTCAGGAGTAGGCTACTAAATGCCCGCGGCCGACATATGGGAAAAGTAGCGGTGGTTCAAGAGTCGTGCTCCACGGGCTTACTTCAAGGAGGTTTCCCAACAAGTTGGGGGTTCCACTGCTAAATTTGACAAATTCCCGTTTTGGGATTTTCTCGCTTGTTCGCTGAGAACTCAGTTCTCCGGACTTCCCCGCTATTGGCCGCATATTTTACTTTCCTCAACTTGGGAGTGCCGACGCACGGTCTCGTTGGCCAAGTACGCCCTCAAAAACGGTACAATGCGTCATTGCACAATACTGACCCAATTCGAAATGAAGAGCATGACACGTTGTTTTCATAACAGCCCTGAAAAGGCCAGTCCGTGGAGCCCCACTTTTCATCACGGGGAATGCGCCTCTGAGGAAGGTAAAGTACGCCCTCAAAAACGGTACAATGCATCATTGCACAATACTGACCCGATTCAAAATGAAGAGCACGACGCGTTGTTTTCATAACAGCCCTGAAAAGGCCGGTCCGTGGAGCCCCACTTTTCATCACAGGGAATGCGCCTCTGAGGAAGGAAATTCTCGGAAGTGCTCACCGCGGAGCTCAATGCGAATACATTTTATACATCATGAGTATATATGTATTTTTCAAACTTCTTGAAGTTTCTTTTCTTTTCAATTTTTGCTGTGCCGCATGCTGTGGTCGTGCACGCACGGTGAGGTGCATCAATATGGCTCATGTGTGTCAAATGTGCGCGCTTGCAAGTATGGGTTGAACTCATGATCTGTTAATTAGCAGTTTCCACGTGTGAAAGTCAGCCACAAGGGTCTGGGTGTTTTCCAGCTTGCTTCGAAAGCTCAACAGCTGTGGTTCCCAGCCAAGTTTTACCACGAGATTCTAGCCAATGGACTACCCTTTGAAAACTTGGTCATCGTCGCGTGGGACGTCTGTTGGCCCGAGATACCAGCCAACGGACTACCCTTGGATTTGAAGACGTGGCTGTTGGCCCGTGAGGCATAAACCACCACCACCACCACCACCACCACCTCTCTCAGCCAGTTTGTTTCGACAAGGCCACTAATGCGCCAAATCATTTGCAGCTCGGTCTCCCATGCCGAATGGCTCCCTATACGAGGCACGCAAAAACTGAAAAGAGCCCATGCTAGGTTGTTTTCTATTTGCACAAACGAAAGGGAAACTGGCATTGGGATAGAAAGAGGCTGGGAGGTACCTGGTTGTTTATGAAAGGGGGTCGGGGTCGAATTCTTGCAATTGCAAGTCCTTGTTCGGCAGAAGTTTTTTTTCGATTCAGGTCCACCATACAGTCCCTCTGCAGCCCGCTCTTTGTGGGACCTCTCCCACTCGACAGTGTCTTGGACCTCATGGTCAACTAGGATTGTGCCTATCGGATGTCATGAAGCAACTCAAGATCCCGGCGGTTAGATAGACTTGGAGAAGTTACGACAAGAGATTGTCCCATCTTCGGCTTGCCCTCCCTCTTACTTGTTGTTTCCTAAGCACCTTTGTTTTGTTGTTTTTTTCCCCCCCTCCTGTTTTCGCTACTCCACTAGTCACGAGGCGCATATAAAAGAAAAAAAATATATATGGCGGCGTAGCTTTCCATGTTCTGGCGAGAGATCCATTCTCGTTTTGCACATTCTGTGGGTAGCGGAGGGAGGGCCAAAGACTAACCAACATGCGCGGTTAATCATATGCCTATTTTCTGGCAACCTGGATCATTACCAATATGGATGTGTTAGCTGCACCTGAAATAAATATTATATGTTTTCGTTTAAAAAAGTATGTTGTATGTTTTCGTTTGATCTGTCCGGGGAAGACCGTAGTCCGTACGTGATGAGAGGACGTGACACACGGTTTGTGGATCATCACCAATATGGATGTGTTGGCTGCACCTGAAGTAAATGTTTTTAATTATTTTATGTTTTCATTAAAAATAGTATACTGTATGTTTTTGTTTTATGTGACGCGCACAGGCTTACACGGTTGAGCTGGAGGCGGAAGTAACTCAGCTCAAGGAGGAGAACCAAAAATTGAAGAGAATCCAGGTAGAGGTCTTTGAAATTCTTTCTTTCTTGTCATCCATTGCTATTTTTTTGTCTCATTTGACCCCTGGTCACCTTTTTTTCTCTTTTCCAATTTCTCAATTTATGTGTGTCATCCTCGCGCTGAGGCCATGCTAATCTTCTCTGCATCATTCCCAATTGTAACGGATGTCCGGAAGGACGAGACCCCGAACCCCTTCCAATGCAAATTCGCGAATTGAAAATGTGAACGTATCTGTTTGTTCGGATGAACAGCCCCCTACCGGACCAAAATCGCTGGTGGTGAAAAAAATAAATAAATAAAATCGCTGGTGGTGCCAGCTAGAAGGAAAAAGAAAAACTTGCACGTTGTGGTTCGTTTTTTTTTTTTTTTTTTTTTCCCGGTGTGTATGGGGGATTTGAACAGGCAGAAAGAGGCTTGGAGGTAGTTTGTGAATAGAATAATAACTAGATAATACTTGATGCTTGGCAAAACGACCTCTTTCCCCCAAGCGCGTTTTGGTCGTGAATACAAAAAAGCACCGTGTTTTGCTCATGAATACAAGAGCACCAAGTTGTTGGATGTGGACTCAGGAAAACCATCCTGACAGAGGAGCATGATATACAATATATCACAATGCAACGTTACACGACTGAAATGGCGATGGCTTCGGGAACCGATTGGGCCCGATAAAAGGTGTGCGGAGTCCCCTCTGGGCCTTCCAGCATATGGACAGAAGGCGTTCAAGGAAAAATGCTGACTGGCACAAGCATGGGCCTTTTGAACCTGGTGGATGAGACGTTAAGTATGTCCAGGTCATGTTTTTTGGTAAGAGGTCGCTTAGGTGTGTTTGGAATCGAGGTAGATAGTCCTGGTGGGTTTATGCTCTTTCTGGAATGGCTGCGTGCTACGCGGCAGGCGGCAGCAGTCAGTGAAAATTGAGGGACAGGAAAATAAGATGTTGAGAGAATTGCGGTTGATATCGTCTCTTCCTGTGGATTGGATGTTTGTTGGGGATGTGCCTTCCCACAAAGCAGGCTGAGGAAGCTCGGGAGAGGGCTCAACAGGTTAGCATCCCCTCTTGCCTTCGATTTTCTCCCTCACACGCACCGTGGTTGCCGTCTTCAGCCTCTCTCTCTCTCTCTCTTTCTCTCTCCCTCCCTCCCTCTCTCTCTCTGTATCTCTGTCTGTCTTCTCCCTCCCTCCCTCTCTCTCTCTCTCTCTCTCTCTCTCTCTCTCTCTCTCTCTCTTCCATGCGCTATATGTTATCAACTGTGTGGACCAGTCATTACGAGTGCTGAGTCCATGCATAGGTGCTGCAGCTGCAAGTCTGTGCAATGCAAAATGCCCTCGGCAAGTGAGTCTGGATGCCTGAATCTACCCCGCCTGTTTTGCCCCGTGGCAGTCCCATGATCTATGGTACCGCTATGTGATGCGCACTGTGTGATCGGCTCCTCCATCGATATTGGTCCCCGTGCCGAGCTGGCCTGCCTTTTAGAGCGAGCGTATGCCGGATAAGTTTTGATGCATTTTGCGAACAAGGTATTCCGTGAAGTGGCTTTGGATTTTCCATGCGCTCTTTGGTGCCTTAGGGCCTTGCTCCACTACTCTGCAAGTGTGCAAAATGAGAATGAATCTTCCGCCAGAACGTGGAAAGATACTCAGCCATATTTTTTGTCTCTGGTGCTTGTGGTGAGTAGTGGAGTGAGGCCCATACTCTTATGTGACATTATCGTCAGCCTCACTCGTCAATTAAGCAATCACCCAGGGTTTACTCACGTGCAAGTAATTGCGTAATTACGTAATTTCGCCTCGTTGCTTTAAGGCTTGTGATACGGTCACACACAGGATGATGCCTACTGCAGTTAATGTGCTTGACATCCAAGTAATTCTGCCTAATGAGGTAATTTTGCCTAAACGGATCCGTTGTGTTATTGGACCACTTGGACTTCACTCGCATGTAAGTAATTGCCTAATTAGGCAATTTCCTCATTACAGAGCAGGGCTTGCGATAAAGTGATTCTGTCACACACAGGATGATACATACTGCTGTTGATGTGCTTGGCATGAAAGTAGTTGCCTAATTAGGAAATTGCCTAAACTGATCAACTGTGTGCTTGAATCTCCCCCCTCATTTCTGTATGACAAGCGTTCCGTGCACTGTACAAATTGTTTTAATTTCTTTTTTCAATTGTCGCACTGTGCCCGGAGCGGACGGCAGCTGATTGACTCTGTCTGGCTCTCTATGACAGACTCTCGTCGACTCGTCGTTCCATTTAAATTTCAAACTGTCACCACGCAATGAGGTAATTACTAATTACCTAATTAGGCAATTACTTACATGCGAGTGAAGTCCAGACCTTACCCACCATGCCTAACAAGGTTAGGTACCAGAGCAGTCTCTGCCAGTCCACGGATGAGAAGATCTCTGGTAGGAGAGGTCTGTGTATATATACTGCTGTATGTGAATTCACTACTCTGTCACAGGGAGCGCTCTCACAAGGGAGTGGTGATTTGAAACAGACTGAAGTCTTATAGATAGCATGGGGAGGATGAATTAGGAAAGCTCTGGACGTGATTGCAGTCAGATTCATTCCGGTCTGGCCGTAATTGCCGTCGGATCCATTCTGGTCTGGCCGTAGTCGCAGTCGGATACATTTAGGAAAGTCCTAATGTGTGAGTATGGCCTGAGTAGGGTTTCACATTTACACAATAGGTTTCTCTCTGCACGTATACTGGTAGGCCAAGCCCTTTTTTTTTATAACCAAATCCAATGCCCGTGTTTTTTTTTTTGCTGAACGTCCTCAGGGCATGCTCACACTAGCACCTTCCTAAATGTATCCGACCGCTCATGCGACCAGGCGGGGATGATCTGATTGCAATCACGTCAAGAGCTGAACCGGAAAAGCCTGTGAATTTACCCTCAGTTTGGCTTCCGCGGAGGTGGAAGTTGAATACTCCCTTCCTTTTTTCAATTGAAGGGGCTTTGTCCTCCCGTGCCATTTTGTGTCCATAAGGACCTGAACTCATGATCCCATGGCTGCTGACAGAGGTGGAAGTAGGATGCATGTGTCTACAGTTCAGCCACAAGCCGCGGGGAAGGGGAGAACAATAAACTCCGACGAAACAGTTTGTCACAGCCGCTCGTTTGTTGTCCTCTTCTCTCTCTCTGCCTACGGTTTACCGGGCAGTTCTGTTTGTGACGATATATGCTACGACTTCGCTAGCTTCCTGCTACGGTTTTTTCCGGTCAGGTCGAGCGGCAGTGGTCGGGGCCGTTACTAGGCGGCCATGCTGTGCCTCTAGTGCCAGCGGCGTGTCTGGAGTGTATTTTTTGGCTGT